GGGCTGCCCCATGTATTAGAATCCCAGCTGTGTCTGGATGGAGAAAGGTGATGGGAACTGGCTGTCTCAGGAAGCAGATCCCTGGAGGAAGGGAGATCCCCACTTCCTGCTATCTCTAGTTTAGTCTGTTTTGCAAAATCCCAGCACAGGCTCTTAAATGCGTGTGAATCCCTTCCCAGAGCAAGGCACCCTTGGTACACGCAAGAATTAGGTCTAAGTGGATCTTGGTTTTGATTGGGTTCTTGTGCAACTGTCTGATACTTAGAAGGTTTTAAGAAAACTTTTAAAAGCTTTAGAACACTGAAAAAGTAAATGTCAGTTCTGTTCTCAGCTGGAATCCCTGATGCTCATCTTCAGTGTCCTCTTCCAGCCTGACCTCTTCATTAGTGGGGCCAGAGGAAGTGACCAGCAGCCGCTGAGCACTGTGTGTCCCAGAAAGGGAGTATGTGTCTGGCGCAGTTTTGGTAGGAGGTGGGGCACATTTCGGTGGTTCCATGCCTCCTGCTGTGTGACATGACATGTTACCCCTTTAGGCTTAGCCATCTACATTTACATAAAAATACTGCTCATTGTCTTCATTTGCCTCTTGCAAATATCAAATAAAGTATGAGAAGATCCTCTAGCAATACATATTTTTAGGTTCACTGTGGACCAGGTGCCACTCTAGGTGCTAGGAATGAAACAGTGAAAAATAATTTTTGGTCCTCATATTTAAATTTAAGTTAGATGATGCATAGAGCTTTTATTCACTGTCTTTTTGTATTCCCCTTCAGTGTTTCTAATGATGGTAGGGGATATATGCTATGTGCCTGGTACCACTCCAAGCTGTGACACAGGTGATGGTTAGGATGAAGAAGCAGGTCCTACAAGGTGTCACAGCAGCCTCGGCTGTGGGTCTTACCACTCTTTATATCTGTTCTCTACAGTCACCATTTCCCTGTCCTGTGATGAAATCTGGGGCAGATCCAATAACTTCTTGTCAACTCTTGACAGCCTAGAGAGATGACTCAATGATTTAAGAGCACAGGTTACTCTTCCAGAAGAAGTGAGTTGGATTCCCAGCACCTGTTGGTACTGTGGGGAGTGGAGACAGGGGGATTACTGAAACTTCCTTGCTTTCAGAGCATGGGCCTTTGCAGTGCTGTAGCTGTTTTGGGTTTACTTGTGTAAGCCACCCCTTATCTATGCTTTATAAGGGTAATAAATTCATTGCTCTCACCAAGCTGGACTTTGGTGAGGTTCTACTTTAGCTTGTCATTGGCATGTATCTGGGGAGAACAATTGTTTGGTTACATCTCCCCAGGGAAAGTTAAGTCAAGACTATCCTATAGTTTTTGTTTTAAGATTTGTCTTATTTATTTTTCAGTGTGTGTGTGTGTGTGTGTGTGTGTGTGTGTGTGTGTGTGTGTTTGTATGTGCCCATGAGTGAAAGTATTCAAGGAGGTTGGAAGAGGTGTCAGATCCCCAGCAGCTGGAGTAATGGACAGTTGTGAGTACCCTAACATAGGTTCTGGGAACTGAACTTAAGTTTTCTGTGGGAACAGTCAGTTCTCTCAACCAGTAAGATGTCTTTCCAGCCCCACCTTATAGGGTATTTCTGAGGCTTAAGTAGAAAAAAAAAAATCTAAGAAGTGCTTAGCACAATTCCTGGTACATTGTAGGTATTATCCAAATATTTGTTAAATAAATACCAGACAAAAGTTTGAAAAATAAATAATAAATGTGATCTAATAACAGTGTTAATCTTTACTGTCATGAGCTGTGGGTTCTTTCTTCCCAACCATCTCTGGATGATGTCTACGATGCCCTGCTTATAGCTTTATGCCCCTAGACATAGCCTGTGTTATAGGGAGGACCTGGAGGTGGTACTACATTCCTGGCAGATACCCAGCCCTGTCCCTGTCTCATTCCAAGTGCTAGGAATGTTGAGAACTATGCGTCCAGGGAGGGTGACTCAGGGATGACCCATCCTGAGCATTCCCAGATACAACTTCTCAGAAAGAGGTTCTGGAAGGACAAAAGCAATGGTGGGCACAGGGGATTTTGTTCTGCAACGCTCTATTAGACCTGCAGTCCAGGCTGGTCATGAGTGGGAGAGATGAATGATGGGACACTGTTGAGGATCTTGGCACAAATAACGATCCTTTTCTTGACACGCCTGCCTCTTGACATGTTTGCGGGTGGCTAAAGCAAAAACAGAGAAATTATGCAATGGAGCCAGTCACGTAGCATGGGTGAGAAAGAGCTGGGTCAGATCTCTGCCCTCTGTGCTTATGTTTAATCCGATGAGATTCATGGTTCTGCTGTTATCCCAGCATGGACTTTGTTTAGTCACTGAAGCTGTTAACATAATTTCAGAGATGTGCAGCCAGGGACTCTTGGGTCATCTGGTGAAAATGACGTCACCAGGAAATGAAAGTCCTCAAATACTGAAAGCTCTAGAGAAAGTGTGTGCCGGGGTGAGTCAGGGGGAGAGAGAGAGAGAGAGAAAGAAAACAACACACCACATCAAAACATGAGACCACAGACAAGCTGTGCATGTAGGCTAAAGGGGAATGGCTGTAATTGGGGTCACATGGATACAGGACAAGGGTATTACTCTTTCACCAACATATTCCTTTTAGAATCTTTTAAGGATGCACAGCTTCTAATGCTTAGAACAGCATGAACTTCAGGGGGAAAAAAGAAAACAATTTGCAATGGAATGTTCATACTTATGTATGAGCACTTGGTCATCTAGATATATTATTTTAAGACTTATAAAGACCCCAAAGAAGTTGGATAAATACCAAACTTTCATTTTCTACTCTATCTCTGAATCACTTTTTAGTTTCCCTTCAGCAAGACAAAGGAGAGCAGAAGCAAGCAGGCTTTGGTGTTCCACAGACTTGTGTTCAAATCTTGAACAGGGAGTGATGGTTCAGCTGGGAAAATGCCTGCCACTCAAGCATGAAGACTTGTGTTCAAGTGTCAGCATTCATGTAAACTGCTGAATGCCAATAGCATACATCTGGGATTTCAGAGCTAGGAGGTTGAGGCAGGTTGCTCACCAGACCACATAAATTAAGCAATCATCTCTACCGGGGGGAGGGGGTCAGCCTCACTGCTTTCCTTGAATCGTTTCCTAGAAGGACTCTTGCAGTTTGGGGGTATCATCACAGGGCCACCAGCAGGCAGTCTGTTTTCATGGGGCCTTCCTTCTCTGATGCCTGGGACAACCCCTGCACTGGATTGGACTCTTTCTCTGTTTCTAGTTTCCTAGTGCTTTGGACTCTTTCTACATTTGTTCCAGAAGCCAGGACTATTGTCCTTGGGGCTGTAGGATCAAGCCTGTGATTAATTTTGTTGGCTACTGAGCCTCTGCTTTCTGACACCTGGCTGTGTAGCTTTCCTTAAACTTGGTGGCACATCCTAAGGTACTTGAGCAATAATACTATGGCAAGTACCAATAAGAATGCTTCCCATGGGTCTTTTCTTTTCTAAGCTTCCAGATGTGCCACCACAGGCACATATAGAAGAACATCTGCCAGCACTTATGTAGAGGGCCGGTGGGAAAGGCTAGGTCTACCATGTAGTTGTGGAGTTGAACTGGCAGAGTGCTGAGCACAGCTGTACAAATATGAGAAAATGTCATTGATTCCAACCTTGGTGTTGAGATCAATGGCAGGTAACACCTCAGTGCCAGCTGGGGAGTTTTGGGGTGCCCACCCACCAAAACATCAGGTGGGTAGTCCAGGACCATGGACTCTTGGTTCAATTCTTTTCCCACCATGCCTGTGTAAATTTTCATCAGTCATAAAGCCAGACTCACAATGACAATTCCAGCACATGGTCCACATGTCTTTGAGCAGCCAGAGGAAAGTTTCCATGCCTCTCCTCAGCTTCAACTCCGTGACAGTGGACCCACCAGTGAGTGATGCTATGTTTAGAGTTGGCTTGCACTCCAGTCCTGCTGCAGCTCTGAGGTTGGAGGCTACTAGAGGAAAGGGGCAGTTTACTGCCAGCTTACTTGGACTTAGGATGGCAACCTTTTAGAGTAAACATCCCAGGGAGCAAGTGACTTGGCAACCAACTCCTTGGTGGCTCTTCCCATGTCACTCACAGCAGCCTTTTAAAGACAGAGCCCATCTAGGTATTTAGAACTTGAGCCTTGTTGTTTGGTGGTTCACTGATAGGATGCCTGCTTCTCTCATGACCTGCCTGAGATACCCAGCCATGTGTGCATAGTCTGTGTGGTTGCTTCAGAGGCGACCATGTAAGGCAGAATGGAGCTCTCAACGGCTCTCAGCAGCATGTTCCCACTTCACACAGATCGCTAAAGAGGATCTGGAAGATTTTTATTTTCCCACAGGGTTTACCTTTGCAGCCCAGGCTGACATTGAACTCATGGTTCCCTTGCTCCAGCCTCTTAACTACTGGATTATAGATGTCCACCAAGCCCTGGGGAGAAAGAATCTGGAAGATCCCCAAAGAAGCTATAAAACTATAAAGAATATATTTATGAGCTTGGTGTGGAGGCAGGTAGACTCTCTGTGTTTTTAAAAGGCTAATCTGCACTAGCCAGCCTTGCATCTTACAGTGGCGAAGAGGAAATGAACTTAAAGTTTGGTTTTCAGAACCCTGCTTGCTCGCTGTCCCTCACTAGCTAACAATTTTACCGTACCAGTCCGAAGCATGGAATATGAAAGGGTTTATCAATTAGTGATAGAACTTAAAACGAGCTGTTTTTTCTTCACTATAAATTCTGCCCTTGCTTCCAATGTCTTTCATTCTAATGACAGGATTGGATTTCCTGTGAAAACCTATAGATGACATATTGGTTATTTCCTGCAAGGGAAACAGAACATAAACTCTTTGTTGGTGACAGCAGGCTTCTGGGGGACATGTCTGATGCAATACTCTCTTTCTCCTCTTCTCTCACATAGTTTTGGCCACCTGAAGCCTCTTGCTCTGAGCTGGGATGGGAGGAGCAAGCAGCTCCTACTCCCCCCCCCCTCTTCACAGCTGCAAAGTTCAGAGAGTTGAACTGTGTGCTTTGAGTTCACTGCTTGATCCGCCACAATCAACCCCAGTTGTAAATTTTCCTCCCGGAACACGTGACGATGCATTTCTTGACTATATATCCCAAGGCCAGCAGCGGGGCTGTCAGAGCTCAGAGCCCAACACAGAAGAGAAACGTCCTCGGATTCAGCCGTTTAGGAGTTCCACACTTGGGACGCACTGGCAGCCTTTGGTAAGTTAAGGAGGCTCCTTCTCTTCAGAGACACGCAAGAGGAATAGTTTTTACTATTAGCAGAGAAAGTTCTCTTGCTTGTTTTCTTCTTCTAAGGAAATGTAACTTTGGATTTAAGAAAGTGGAAGCTTTTGAAATAAAATGTAAAGTTCATTTCTGCCCTGCCAGCTAAAGCATGCCTTTGAAATGTTGAGATACTATTTTTTTTCCCTATGAAACCCTATATGATATATAATACTTAAAGTTTAGAACTAATGCAGGGTTATTTTCTGAAGTGCAAATGAAGTCCATCTATCTATCTATCTATCTATCTATCTATCTATCTATCTATCATCTACTTATCATCTGTCTCTCTATCTGGTGAAAGTTTTCCCCTCCCTTGTTTTCTCTTACTTGCTCCAGGCTCTCAGAAGTAACCCCCATTAGCTGTTTGACGAGATGCCTTACATTCTGCAGTTTCTTTCGTTCCTGTTCTTAATTACCTATTTTGATCTATTGCAACTTCACGGGCCATGTGCTTGCCTTCTGCCTGTGCTGTGGATACATGTGGAAGGTCTAACTTGCAGCTTTCTCCCCAGACCCGGGCTGTGTGAGAGGCATTTCAATGCTGAGGATGGAACCTCTGAACAGTACACACCCCAGCGCCGCAGCCTCCAGCAGCCCCCTGGAGTCCCATGTGCCTAGTAACAGCGGTGGTAATGGCAATGAATACTTCTACATTCTGGTTGTTATGTCCTTCTATGGCATTTTCTTGATTGGAATCATGCTGGGCTACATGAAATCCAAGAGGAAGGAGAAGAAGTCCAGCCTCCTGCTGCTGTACAAAGATGAGGAGAGGCTGTGGGGGGAGGCCATGAAGCCGCTTCCCATGATGTCGGGCCTGAGGTCAGTGCAGGTACCCATGATGCTGAATATGCTGCAAGAGAGCGTGGCGCCTGCTCTGTCCTGCACCCTCTGCTCAATGGAAGGGGACAGTGTGAGCTCTGAGTCCTCCTCTCCAGATGTGCACCTCACCATCCAGGAGGAAGGGGCTGACGATGAGCTGGAGGAGACCTCCGAGACCGCTGTCAATGAGAGCAGTGAAGGGTCTTCAGAAAACATCCACCAGAATTCCTAGCACCCCCAGGCCTCTGGAGGTGGCTCCATAAGCCACGCTTGACAGAGGAAAGACGTTTGCCAACTGCCTGGTTTCACTTTTGCTCTGCAGCTGCCACTTTGAACAGACTGTGGGCAAGCCCCCAAGATGCGGGAGGGAGAGACAAGGCTTAGCTGGAGTCATCGAGGTTCCTGTGGTTCGGATCCACCACTGAAAATGTCCCAGAGACACCACGGCATGACCATTTACTCTTGGTTCTGGGTGTTGGGGGTCCCTGTTCAGCATCTGGCTGGATCATGTGTTGTTTTCTCACTGGATGCCCTGGGTAACTTCTGCAGCATCTGTTTGTGCCCAGGGCTGACAACTGCCTAGGGCAGGCTGAAGGACTACATTTGATTTGCTAATTTGCCTAGAGCTTTGTTCTTCTAGATCTGATTGGCTGTAAGTATCTTTATTGTGTGCCTGTAACATTTGGCCACTGAGAGTTACACATTTCTTTTGGAGGTCTTTTGGATTAGGAGGGGGAATGCTTGACGGGAAATTTTGATATGGAGAAAGCTGGAGGTAGTACCTAGATTGTTTGCACAATGCAAGGGGAGAAAGCAATGTGTACATAGGTCCACATCAGCTGGGGATATAAGCTATGACCTATTTTGAGCTTTTGTCTCACCTGTGAGCTTGAACTCTTGACTTGTGACTGTACAACATTGCAGGTGAGCGTGGCTTTCTTTGTCAGAGGGCCTCCTCAGAATCAAGCCTGCATTCAGGATGGCTGTTGAGGGTGGTCCTCTTGACCTTTACAGATTGGGTAATGGTGGGGTTACACAAGGCAACATCATCGATGGCTCTGCTAAGGCTCTTTTTCCCAGACTAGCTTCCCGAGGCCAGCGAGGACACAAGCAGGCCTCACCATCTGGGGTGTTGTCACATAGCTGAGACCTAGAAGGGCACATTGAGGAGAACTTGAACAGAGCTTCGGTCCAAACACTGTGCTTCGTCATCTGAGCCCTGACGATCATTTACTGTGTGGTCCTGGGCATGTCATCATGAGGCTCATTGCCTTCATGAGGATCGGGAGGCAGTGCAGCCCCAGGGGGCTGGGAGGACATCTTTAGACTCTGTACTGTGTGATAAATCCTCCCTGGCCTGGTGTGAGGAAGTTTGGACCAAGTATTTCCCCTTTGGCCGCTTAGTCTAGAGAAGGATGTGTTGACTTAAAGGCACAGTTGGAGACTAGATATGTGTGACTGGGGAGTTTGGGGCTGATCAGCGGTCATCCCTACTGTAGCTTTCCCAGGACAGGACGGGAGAGGCAGCACAGTTTCCTCTGCAGAGTTCTAAAGAGGGGAGGACGTTAACACTCCCAGCTGAGGGGAAGAGAAGGCTAAAAGGAGACTCCCAGGACCACTTGCCGGTGTTCCATATCATCTGTGGTCCAGAACTTTGCAAGCAGCCCACTGAAGACCTCCAGAAGGAAGCAGAAAAACAAAAACAAACAAACAAACAACAACAACAAAAAGCAAACCCCAAAGGCCAAGTTTGACTAGTGAAAACCCTCTTTAATTTTTATTTATCCTGAGTCTCCCTGGGTTGGAGACAAAGAGGTTACTGCTGAACCCATGGGAGGCAAACAGTATAGGAGCTGGTTTTCCAATCAGTTTTTGACACAGAGGTAGGGGTAACATACTTCGGAGGGGAAAAGGGGCCCTCTGTTCACTTTAAGATTCAGAGTGTGGACTAACTCCAAAGGGGGCCGTTTAAGTTGAAAGAAGCCAAGCTAAGTTTGGCCTCTTGCCTGGAATCACTTGAATTCTGAAACTTTACTGCGACAGACATGTGCGTTGTCACATTTTCCATTGCTTAATCCTGGTTTGGTGCAAGTCTGTCTGCGCCTGTTACAAAGTGATGTATATACTTCCTTCTAATACATTGAGTTGTAGGCAATTGTCTTTTGTATTTAATGGTTTGTAATTTTCACGATATTTTTTTTAATTTAAATAAACACATTTTCCCTGAGAAGTCATAGTTCTTTGATCCTTGAATATACCTATAATTTCTAGTCTTTATGCCATTACAAGCCATCACAAGATTCTACTCACCTCAGGGGTCAGGCCTCCACAATGCATGCATGTCTTTTGCCATAGAGTGAGCAGGTAACGTCATTTCCATCTTTTGGTCCACTTTGTAGGCATGTGAGAACAAGCCAAGGGTGGTTTTACATCACCTTCTCAAAAGGCCCGGGAGCTTTTGGACTTGAATCTGAGTGGTTTGGCAAGTGCTGCTAAGATGTCTCTCCAAATTTGGTTGTAAGAAAACATTTGATTTGCACACTGACTTGGCAAACACCATCCACATGTGTGGCCCCAGCAGTCTGGGCTTAATGGGCAGGGTGTTGCCATATGAACAGACTTATGCACATAATCAAATGCAAAGTCCACATCTGGGGTTCTGGTTCAGATTCCTCCCTAGTAAAAACCATTTCTAGGTCTCTCCCTCTTAGTCTTGCTGTATCTCTATCTCATAGGCTGAGCCAGTTTCTTCTTTATAAGTTTATTTTCCCAGTCATAAGCACTAAAGAAAAATGACCAAAGCCTATGACCTAATTTCAAACCACATACACAAGGAGAAAATCTCCTTACTTTTATGTGCATCTGTTTCTTGTGAGTTTCATTTTTTTTTTCTATTTCAAGTAAATGTTCCCATAGGTTTGCAAATAGTTACCTAAAAAGGATTGACCTGGTAATTGAGCAAGCAAGCCTGGATCCTTCTGGAATATGTGTAACAATGGCCTCAACCTGTCATCCAGTAACACTGACAAGCAGCATGGGAAGAGTATGCTAAAGATAAGAAAATCCTTTACCTCAGTTTTTATTCATTCTTGGTAAGGAAACAGTTAAGAAACTTTTTTTTTTTTTTGTTGCAATGGGCGGAAGAAGAGGGAATTCTAAACTCTAATTGTCCTAAAAATATGCAGAGTACACTGTGTCGTTTTAATGGAATATTTGTTTTCTTAAAAAAAAAGAACTTCTAAGCAGAACCTAAGGCCCAAGGGGTTTTAGTCTGTGTGGGTTTACTCATGCGTGTGAAAAACTGTGAAGGGAATTTGGCCCCGTGCACCTCAGATATTAGAAACATATTTCAAATGCACGTGAATGGTACAGGCTGAGGTAAATGGACATCCTGCTGGCTCCATGCTGTTGTATACCTTTGTATGTCAGCGTCACACAGAGATACTGCAAAGGGAGAGTTTCTTTCAGGGACAGAATCATGGGATCCAAACTACTGGGAAGGGCTGAAGTTGAGCCAAGGGTTGAGTGCTTTTGGCTCCAGATTCTGGTAGGAAAGTGGACCCTATGGTGCCTATGGAGCTGTGATCGAAGGGTTTGTGGTAAGACGTGCCTCCATGGTTCGGCTGGAGAAAGATAGATTATGTATCACCCGGTAAAAGCTGCTCTAACACAAGATGTCGGACAGGCAGAATGTTGATCTTACAGTGCATTTTAAACTCCATATTTAAACATAGCATATTTTTGTTCCATACTCTTAAAATCAGGACTTAACCCTGAAGAAAACTGCAGGATACAGAGTGGAGGTCGAGGCTGGGGTGGGGGCAGACATTCAACCAGCTGCAGGGAGGTAGGGGGCAGTGGTTCAGACTAGGGTTGGACTACAGGGGCACCATATGTTGAGGGAGCTGGTAGACACCCAGATTTGTCGAGTCCATTTTCCAGCTCAACTCTGCTACTGTGTGTTCTGGAGCTTTGGGCAAGCTCTCCAAGCTGTCTGACTTCTCTCTTTTAACACAAGGGCAACATGCTGGGCCTGCTATTTGGTGAGCCAATCTTGAAAGAAATAGTGGGCTGCTGGGAAACACCCAGCACGTGCGAAAGCAAAGCCAATACAACTTGCATCTTCCTTTAAAACTGTGTCCTGGGCAGGCATGCATCGCTAATAGTGTCACAGAGACATCCTCTTCTGGGGATGCTTTCCTCAGGAGACTGCAATACTCAGAAGAAGGGTCAGAAGAGAGAAAAGCCAGTGTGAAATCCTGCCTTCCCCTCTCTCTGAAACGTTTCCTCTTACACAGGAAGAAGAGTTTGGGATGTACATTGTTACCATGGAAACAAGCAGCCAAGGTCACTTGACTGAAGGAGCCTGTGGCCCACTGATGCTGGATCATTCTAGCTGTTTTTTGAAGTTGAAGCCCGGCCTTTGCCTCAGGGTCAAAGAAGGGGGGCAGGAACTGTCTCCCCCCCTTTCCTCCAGTATCCAGGCCTCTCTTCTTGCACTGACTGTACTACGAAAGCCACAGGGCTGAGATTTTGTTCTCTCGTCCTGGGGAAATTATTTTCCTGTTCACAAATGAATGACCACGCCCCTACTCTTGTCTTTGATTTTCAGCCATTGCTTAGTCTTTATTAGTGCTGCTTCTCACTCTTCTCTCTCCTCCCCTCCCTCTTTCCCTCTTTCTTCTTTCTCTCCCTGCTTTCTTCTTTTGCTCCTTGTCATCACCCAAAAGAAACGAAAGCGATCGTAACTACCGTGCACGATGCGGAGCTCATGACACCCCTTCGGCGTGTATACTATGACATGTCCACACTCGATCTAATCTAAAGAACACCACACTCGGAGCTTCTGTGCAGTTCCAGCACGACATCAGGTGCTGGGAAAATGTAAGCCCCTGCCTAACCTCCAAGAAGGTTGTGGTTCCTATATCAATGAAGTCTAATGCAATCAACTCTGCTTTTGATTATAAAACTGAAAGAAAATTTCTATATACAGAGGTCTGGCTCTAGGCTGTTAAAAAATATGTGGCTTATGTCTTTGAACAGTCTACGTACAATGTGCTATCGTCAAATGGTCAGAATGGACGTAGTGTTTATGCACTCTTTGCTCTGTAATGTGCACTTTCACTTTGATTATACCTGTCAGTCTTCCCAAGGAAACTGTGAGCTAGGTCTACATTTTAAAAAATTTTATTTATTTAGTGTGTGTGTGTGTGTGTGTGTGTACACGCTCGCATGCATGCGTGCATGTATGTGTGTGTGTATATATATACTCACAAGAGCAAACTCATAGGTCAGAGAACAACCTTTGGAGTCATTCTCTCCTTCTACCTCATGGGTACCAAGGATTAAACACAGGTTGTTAGGCTTTGGGGCAGGTGTCCTTAACAACTGAACCCTCTCACATAAGAGGTTGTGCTGGTTAGTTGTATGTTAAATTGACACACGCTAGAGACCTTTTAGAAGAGAGAACCTCAACTGAGAAAATTCTGCCATCAGACTGATCTAAGGGCAAGCCTGTGGTACATTTTCTTAACTGATAATGTGGGAGCCCAGGTCACTGTGGGAATACCACTTCTGGGCTGAGCAAGCCACAAGGTCTAAGCTTGTAAGCAGCACCCTCTATGGTCTTTTGCATCAGTTTCTGCCTTGAGCTTCTACCTGACTTTTCTAGATGGTGAACTACAAGCTATAAGATAAAATAAGCCCCTCCCCACCTCCAAGTTGTTTTTAGGCATGGTATTTTATGATAGCAATAGAAAGCTAACTGGGACAATATTCAAGCAGATCCCATTCTTGTTAGTTTAATGAATGTCAGATGCAGGTCTTCTGATAGGAAAACCTGGAATTCTTTCAGCCAGTAGAAAGCAGAAAATAAGAGACACAGAATCTAGTCCTGTTCTAGACATTATGAGGTGGCTCTGTGACATTGCTTATGTTAGTCAACTTCTCTGAACACATTTTCTCACTGGTATAAAGCATTTGGAACTCTGTATAAAGCATTTGGAAAAATGAAGTCATTATTTCATGGATGGGGAATCACTAATGTTCACTGTGCAGACACAATGAGGGTTTACCAGCATGCACTTCTTCCCTCTTAGAACATGAAGTTTCTTCTCTCTACCTCTTCTCCCATACCTCCTTCCCATCTCTCCTTCCCTTCCTACCAGGGTTTCTGGATAATAGGAAGAGTAGAAATAGCATGCCACTCCTGAACAGAATCACTGAAAAGCCAACATGGGATTCTTTAGCTATCTTCCTCTTATATGTTACTCATGAGATCCCATGGTTCATATCACAAAGAATATGTAGGAGGAGCCTGTGGCAGGCTGGAAGAGCTTGATCACAGGTGACAATTCTGGAGATGTCTGGATTATTACAAAAGCATAGAGGCTTTGTTTTGGGTAACACATGATAAGTTCCTCTATCTGATTAATGCAGAGTTTAATGACACTGATTAGACACTTATGATGGGAGATGCCATTATGTATATATGTTTCTCATACTGGTTAATGAATAAAGCACTGTTGGCCAATAGGAAAGTAAGATAGGAGGGACTAGGAGACAAGGAGGAAAGAGGAAGTAGTAAGAAGGAGGAGCCAACACGGAGAGTCTGGAGAGAGCAGTATGTGGCAGCCGGCTCCGGGTAAGAAGACCACGTGGAAATACATAGATTAACACAAATGGGTTAATACTTAAGACAGAGCTAGCCGATAAGAAAGTAGTAACTGGCCAACAGTATAATATCAAATACAGAGTCTCTGTGTGTTATTTGGGGACCAGCGGCGGGAGGAAAAACCATACTCTTTACACACTTAGTGTTGGGAAATGTCTTCTAGGTCATCTGAAACAACCCCTCCACTAAATGATGGGAATTAAGGCCAGTAAAAATCATGTGACCTGCTCAAAGTTGCATAGGAGAGAGAAGCAAAGCCAGCCGCTGGTCAGTCCTCCTGATATTTGGTTCATATCCTTGAGGTTGACATGCCTCAAGGATGTTCTTCCTCAAGCTTTTCACCTTGAGCTGTCCTGAGATGTACTGTCCCTGATGCCACCCCATCTGCTCCTCCCACAGTCCTTTCTGTGTTTTGTGTGATAGTGTGTGTGGTCAGAAGGAAAGATAACCTCTAAAACAATGCAAAGTGATTTCACTAGAAATCCCAGTAAAGGGAGAACTGCTATTAATAGGGAAAGGCTCAAACTGGGCTCAACATAATGGTTTTGGTTTTTGGT